TTGACGCGCGTGCTGACTCCAACAAAGCGAAAACGTGGTCTCGCAGACTCAGGCAGAGTTGGAGAGGCTCAGAAACGGTGGTAGGACTGGCACTCTGTGGTGTCAGTGTATCCCAATCAGTAAGTATATTTACTCACTTCGGAAAGCCATGGGTCATCGAAGACGGACAAACCTAACGACTTTTCGCGATGCTCGAATACTTCCTCGGCTAAATGCGGCACAATAGGGGCGATCATTTTCAACAACTGCCGGAGGACATGATCCAACGTGGCTATGACCGCTTGCCGTGTTGGATCCGCAGCAGCATTGCAGTACAGTGAATCTTTGATGGTATCGAAGTAGAGAGAGGAAAGTGTGGATGCGGTGAACGTAGTCAGGGTTTGGAGCACTGACATTTAGCCCTCGTTTCGTTCAAATATGACGAACCTTTGTTGAAGGCGTATGAGTCGTATGCGTCGATGACGGTTTGCCGGACCTTGTCCAGTTCCTTGATAACATAGGAGTCAAGCTACCAATCAGCGTCCGTCACAGCAGGAAACTGGATGGGCATACGGGACTTAATTCGACTTGGTCGAGAGATTTGGCGTCACCTGGAGCAGTGTTGGCAAGAAGGAACCTCAAAGCGCTTCGAAGCTTTCGGAGGGTCTCAGACGCTTGGGCGATGGAGGAAGGTCCTATGGAGACATCTCTGGTATACTCAACGGACGCGGCCCAGATTCGGAGAGCATCTGTCCCAGACGCTGGAAGGCTCTGCTTCATGAGCGTAATGTCCTTTGTGAGCTACTCACCTTTGACCCATGGATCACCTCCATAGGTGAGATTCCGTTTCCTTCTGATTTACTCATCTTCTGTCCTTCTTCATCGAGAACGAAGCCGTGGGTGATCAAAGTGCCATAAGGTGGTCGTGGGTTGTTCAGATCGTCCGCGCTGATTTTCGTGAGAATTGATGATTGGAACCAGCCCCGATGCTGGTCTGACCCTTCTAGATAGACATCCGCCAGTGGTGTACTGTCTTCTTCAGACTTGAGTCCTTGAAGCATGCTCCACGAGGACCCGCTGTCGAACCATACGTCTAGTGTGTCGGTTCCCTTGTAGACCCGCTGACCTTTCAGGCCGGGAGGTATGAAGTCTTCCGCGGGCCCGGTCCACCAGTGATCGGTGCCCTTCTCTTGTAGGACACTGATAATATGTGTCATCGTGTCCTCGTCGATGATCGGCTCCCCTGTCTCGGTATACAGAGCTGGGATAGGAACACCCCAGCTCCTCTGACGAGAGATGCACCATTCCGAGCGAGAGACGATGAAGGCTTCCAAACGATTGCGCGCTATCGTCAGCTCAAAACGACACACGAGGGACGGTGCGCTCACATTGTGGTGGCACGAAGTGTACCTCTTCCAACGCTTTGACTGCCTCGTCCTTGATCGATTCCACATCTGCAAACCACTGTGGCGTCGCACTACGGTCAGTCATGCTTTTCACGAGTTACTCACCGGACGATGATAGGCTGATTGGTCTTCCAATCATATGGGTACCGATGCTCGATCACCTCTTCAGCAAGCAGGCTCCCTTCGCTACGCAGTAAGTCTATCATAGTGCCTATTCCAGCTCCGAGCACCTCCTGTCCGATCAGTCTCGCGACGTCATCCTTGTCAGTCTCGCGGGTGACTGCGGCGGTGAAGCGTCCGTCATCATCGATCGGACATCGCAGCTCTTTAGGGAGTACCCCAGCCACTGTCATACCTTGGTAGTCTTCGTACCCATGCGCGGGTGCAGAGTGAACCAAGCCGGTACCCGACGTGGGAAGAACATGATTGGAAGCAAAGACGGTCGGCCGAGGGAGGGACGATGTCTTTGAATGAAACAGATGGGTATATCGGGTGCCGACGAGATCGGCTCCTGAAAGACTGTGAAGGCTCTCGAGCGGTCCGAGTATGTTTTGGAGTGCTAGAAGTCGTTCGGTCGCCACGACTAGTAAGCCAGCTGTGTCGGACCTGACAATTGAATATTCCATGTCTTGATTCACGGCTACACCCTTCGAGTCAGTAATCTGGTCGCATTGAACAGCGATGACGGACCATATTGCCAGGCAGACTCCAAGCAGTAGTGGTCCAAATCGCCAGGGATAGAGAGACAGGACCTTTTTGTTTCTGAGCATCCTCGTATGCTTTAGTGAGAGCGGGGGACATGTCGCTTTTCTCCACTGGAAAGGCTACGTAGACTGAACGAGATTTGTGGCCGTCTTTATATTTGAGTTCAGCCTCGGCTAATGCTGTTCGGGTCGATGGGGAATAATATGTGGGGCGGAGTCGGTGAGCGATATAACCTGATTGCTTTAGCAGACATCAGTCTAGCCAGACCCACCTTTCGACACCATCCTCTGGAACAATCTCAGTTGTCGTACTTCGAAGTCGTGATCTATACGTGTCAGCTTGGAATGATGTTTGAGTTCAGGTGTTCCTACCAAGGGTCCGATACACTCCATCTGGACTGTCCCAATCCGCCATCACCCCCAGTTCCTGTTGCTCCCTCTTCTGGATCTCGATCGCCTTCAAGGCGGTCTTTCTTGCTTCGCTTCGTATTCTATTCGGCCCCAGATCTGGATTGGCTGCTTGTCTCTATGGAATGATTAGGGAAGAGCTCAAGTGTGGGAAGGAATAACTCACTCCGATACGCTCCAGGGCCTTCATCTCTATAGGCAGACCATGACAATCCCATCCTGGTACGTAGCTCATCTGTTCAGCGCGGGAATGGCGGCAGCGATTTGATAGCTACTCACTGTACTCGGTATCCTCTCATGACCTTCCAGCGGTTCACCATGTCTTTTAACACCTTATTGAGGGCATGGCCTGAAGTTAATAGACGTATGTTACTGAGAATAGTCACCTACCCATATGCAAGTTGCCGTTGGCATAAGGAGGCCCATCGTGCAGCACAAATTCCTTGGCGGTCTTGCGAGACCTCTGCACATCAGTAGAGCTCAAAAGTGATGCTGACGCACCTGCTTTCGGTAAAGATCTTGGGATGTTCGCTGCCTGTAACGACGCTCGTGCTGTACGGGGTCCTTGACCTTGAGGGGCATCGAGGTCTTGGGAAGGAGCAAAGTGTGAGAGTAAGCCTTCTTATCTTGGCTTGGGAAGATGGAATTCGAGCTCAAGGAACGGCAAGAACCGACGACATGCTGAAGGATTATATACCTAGGTAAGACGGGCAAACGTCCCAATGGGAACATGCCGGCGTTGGGTCAATGTCAGAAGTGTAGGAGTGTATGAGCAAGAGTGAGTTGTGCGTTGGGCTTGACTTTTGGTGAACACGTGACTGGGTGATCGGAAGAAGCGACCGTGGGAAAGTAACATCAACCCGGTCAACCCGTCGTCTCCATGGTCATCGAGACATGTGTTCAGAGTACTACTGACGTACTGTGATATGACGAGGACAACCCCCGAGAGATAGCGGAAGAACCACTTCATGTCGACTAGTAGGGCTATCGCCTCACGCCTCAGGTCCTTCAAGTCTAACGCTGGACCGAGGATCCTGCATACCAGTGCGCAACCTCGTCAGTGATCTCGATCCGGTCAACATTGCCCATGACTGATTTTGCAGTCGAGGTCGATGACTTTGAACTTGGCGCCGAGGAAGATGCGAAAGAGTATGCAGAGCTTCAAGAGCTTGAGGCCGAAAGACAGAGGGTACGAGAAGAGAACAAGGAGCGTAAGAACAATGGGTTGGCTCCTCTGGCCCTACCCAGGAAGCGTAAGGCTTCCCGCAGAACACCCGTAAGAAGAGTGATTCGCCCGTTTGACGGCGACGCAAGTGATCCCTCGGAAGACGGAACGCATGCAGAATGAGAGACCAGAGGTTCGGTTCCCGATGACTCGTATCACTGTTGGAAC